TGCTAGATGTATGTCTAGGCCCGAACTTTATGAACGGCGGGTAGCACACAGTGAACACTTAGATCCTATTTTAAGGGTTAACAGATATAAGTCATTGTTTTTTGAATACAAATGGTGGCTCGTTATTGTTAATCATTAATCAATCAATGGTAGTTGATTAAGTAGGTGGGATGATCGGAATGCATATAAAACAAAGGCTAACCCCGAGGCCCATTCTTGAGTTGATGCTTGAATATTCGTGCTTGACCTTGTTTGAGTGCCACTTGAATGAATGGTATGACTGTGAAACCGACACCTGTGAGGCGATCCGTGGAGAAGATAGCCAAACAACTTCGAAGATGGTGGTTAAAGACCGATATCCAATCTGGTCTCGATTTGTACACAATTCGTGTTACTCGACCATATCTCAGGTCTTTTTATTCGTGTTGTATTAAACACCCAACGAGTCGTGGGTTTTTCTTTCCTCGCACTTAGAATAGCTTGTCTTTTAATACTTTGTGTGTTGACTTCACGCATCACCATTTCAATACATAAAAGTGAAATGCATTATCATATAGTGGACTTAGACTTTGGCATGAAAATGGTAAAAAAAATAAAAATAAATGCATGACAACTTAGAGAACAACGCTATTAAGTTTAACGGTAACGAAAGGGCGTTCGTGGAAATATTAACGTAAGCTAGTCTTTGAACCCATGATCTCTGGTTTTTGTGTAAACCGAAATGAAACTCCCGTATTTCAGTTGGGTATTCTAGCCGACCCCCAACCTAGACTAGTGGCGACTTCTATTTCCTAAAAAGATAAAATCAATCTGCTGTCACGTAAGGTATGGATTTGGGAAAAATCCACAATCATGATCAATGGACCTTACGGATGACTAAAAGATTGATGATTCAGTAAGCTGTCTTTTATGATGTTTCATTTGGACCGTTTCATGAATACTTACCTCTAAACCCGCTTCATCGAGTTCGGCCCTCGAGAGGTGGGTCGCGACAAAGTTTTGGCCTAGAATCTTGCAAGTTATAAGTTTTGAAATTATTAAAGAACTCACACTCCAATATATGAAAGCCCTTGTCCATCTGTCGAAACTAGAACCTTTATTTACTTGAAATAAAGAAGAGGTTAAAGAGCTTTGTGGAATTAGGATACATGGTCAATTTCAGTTGTATTATTATTTGAAATTATGATGCAATACGAGTGCTTAAATCATCGATATAAGAAGGGGTAATTGATGAGCCTTTATGTTTGAGAATTGGAGATTCATTGAATTTAATGGAAAATAGATAAGTTCCTATCCTGGTTAAAAAATGAGTGGCTAATGCTAATTCAAATGCTAAATAACTCTTTTTTAGTTGAGAAACAGGTTCTATTGTAATAAAAAACCCTAATCTAATTATTTTTACTTTTATGATGTCGGCTAAAAATCAAGTTTCAACAATTGCAAAGATTATCTCTCATTAGTTGAATTTGAATCACTAAGATAGGTGATATGGCTCATGGATGGCTAAGACGTGCTCTTGATAAATGTCTAAGATGGTTTGCTTAATCATTAAGGAAATGCTCTAATTGGTATAAATTTGATGCATGGCATTTAGGGGCATTTTGGTAATTTCACTAAGGGGTAATTTGGTTATTCCATTTATAAAGGAGAGGGGCTTGGTCAACCAAGGCTCAAGGTGGCCGGTAGTGGCTGGAATGACCTCCTCACCGGTTGGGTCGGTTGGACCGATCGGGCCGGTTCAATGTTAAGCAAATTGGGTAATTTAGTCCAATTTATTCTCTGGAGAACCTAATTGCAAAGAGTTATCATCAAATTATCAAAGGAACGGATCAAATTGGAAAAAAAACAACTCAAATCGAATCGATTATTCAATCAAACTCGTTTCCGACACCTTAATTGAATGAGTTTGTTCGAATTATATCATAGGCAATGTCAATTTCATCTTGATTGATTTGCTTCACACAAATTGGGAATTTTCAATCAATTGATGCAATTTTTGCAATTTTTGTTCCCAATTGACAAAATTGATTTCAATTAAACTCAATTGACTTGAAAAGCAATCAATTAATTCAATTAAATGGGTTTAAAACACTCTAATGTGCTCAAATTGACTTTGGCATAATGACTTGAATTGAACCCAAAAAAGTAATTGGAGCTTAATCATCGAATGAAGCTCCATTCATCAAATTAACCCCTGGATTGGAATGGGTCACGTCGAATTACATCAATTGAACCAAGTTAACTCGATTTCGCAAGTCTTTGGTTTACCAAATTGATCAAATTGACTTGAGTTCATGTAAAATTATTAAAATTGATGTAGGATTTAAGTTGCATATAAGAAAATGGACTCATTCGTGGTTTAATTGCACAAATCATTAAGAACCAACCGGAACTCCTAAATAGGGCTTAAATTGGGGTTTCTTACTCTTGGCTTTGAATTCTGAAATTGGCTTGAAATTGAATATAAGACGACGTCTAGATCAAATGTCGTGAAGGAAATTATCCAAAAAATTACTAGAAATGAAGTAATTTCATTTTTGACCAATTTGAACCAAAATTCATGAATTTGGGATAAGTTGATTCTGAGCTGATTTTTGTAAAATTGCCAAATTGAAATTAAGGTAAAAAGGAGGTGATTTAGTGTTTTTAAATTTTTTCAATTTTTTTTCGAGAAAGCGTTGACCAAAAGTTAACATTGTAGCAATTAGTTACTAAGCTATCAATTAATGGATCAAAGTTTGAGTTTTATGAAAATTGATAGTGCAAAAGTGAAATTGACACTATTTTGGGGTTTTTTATGCAAAAACCCAAATTTTGACTTATGAGTGATTTTTCGGTCAAAATTTGACTAAAAAGTCAACTTGAAAGTCAACATTTTTGACTTTTTGAAACAAAGTGTAAAAAGCTTGGAAATGAAAGGTTAATTATAAAAAAAATGTTAAATGACTCTTTTTGGTTGAGAAATGGGCTCTGTCATGATCAGAAACCGTAATTTCAAGTTTTTACATTTATAAAACCCATTGACTAAAAATTAAGTGTCAATAAAGCCATAGAACAGACCTCCCGGGTGCGTACATTATGTCCAAATAGTTTGGAAATGGTGTTCGGAAATTATTGTTCATTATTGTTTTTGGAAGTACAATCAGATTGGTTTAGAGATGCATTGTCGGGTTGGAATTTCAGTTGATGAGCTAGCAATAATTTGAAAATCAGTTGCGAGTTTCCACGAGAGCCTCAGGAAATTCATGTGTTAGCATATCTCCCTTAACATATGACATATTATATCTGGAACGTTAATCTTGTCATTTTATTTTTCTTCCAGGTATCGGTATATGAAAAGGGGTAGATTCTCAAGAGAGGCTTTGCAGCTTTGCCTATTTTTTGTTGCATCTTCGTCTATTAGTTTTGGCAATTTTATGTATTGTTAACATAATTTTTTGGATACTGGAGTTTCATTACCATTTTTGAAAAAGAGGGAATTGAAGAGTTCTTTGCCCTTTGGCACTGAAGCAATTTCACTCATTACCATTACCATATATATTATATATGGGGCGAATTCCAAAAAAAAAAAACCCACAACTTTAGGTCAAGTCTCAAATCTACACCGAACCTTTTTTTGTCTTAGAAAAAATCTCAAACTTTAGGTCCAGTCTCAAATCTGCCCCGAGCATTTTTTTGTCTAAAAAAAAACTCCAAACTTTAACTTCAGTCCCAAATCTGCCCCGAATTTTATTTTGTGTAAAAAATAGCAAATTTTATTTATTTTAAAAAATATGCCCCCGTTATCCAATCCCAACTTCACGTGGCACTTCGACGTTGTTAACAAATCCACATCAGCAAAGTAATGGGGTGATAGGTACATGCCGATGTTTTATTTCCACTTCGATAACAAATCCAACCTAATAAAAATTGTTGACCGATCTAGGATATGAAAGTTAGGGACGATAACAAATCCACCCCAAATTTTGTTTCAATTTTTAGGTTGAGTCCAAATTTGCCTCGAACTTTTCTTTGTCTAAAAAAAAGCACCATTACTTTGTTAATGTGGATTTGTTATTGACGTGAAAGTACTACATCAGGTTGAGACTAGATTACGGGGGTATATTTTGAAAATAAATTGAATTTTGATGATTTTTTTTATACAAAACAAAATTTAGGGCAGATTTGGGACTGGATTTAATGTTTGAGGTTTTTTTTTAGACAAAAAAAAGCTTGGGGCATATTTGGGCTGGACCTAAAATTTGGGGTTTTTTTAAGATAAAAAAAGTTCGAGGCCGATTTGGGACTTGACCTAAAGTTGGGGTTTTTTAGAGAATTAGGCCATTATATATGTATATATGCGTATATACTTGCCATCCTTATGACATTTTATGGCCACTCCAAAATGAGAATTTTTTTATAAGTATGAAAATTGACCTATTTTTTCTCTTTATGTTTCCATCTATGGAAGGATAAGGATAAATTGTTGATGCTTATCTTCTTTGGATTATTAAATCTTGAACATTTCCTTTCATGTGCAAAAACCCAATCCATACTTGCCAAAAGAAGAATCATTTTCTTCTTTATGGAAATAATGATCATAGCAGGCTATTAATGATGATTGCCAGGATTTAGGTTTGTGGTTTATCAACGATAAATCTTTGATGTGTATCTCCTTTAGATTACCAAATCTTGAACATTTCCTTTAACGTGAAAAAACTTGATCATACTTGCCAAAAGAAGAATCGTTTTCTTCCTTATGGAAATGGTGATCCGTGAAAAAACTTGATCATACTTGCCAAAAGAAGAATCGTTTTCTTCCTTATGGAAATGGTGATCCAAGGCAGGCTGTTAATGAAAAGAAGAATCATTTTCTTCCTTGTGGAAATGGTGATCCAAGGCAGGCTGTTAATGATGATTGTCATGATTCAAGTTTGAGGTCTACCAAGGGGATATGATTTTTGTGTATATAAGGAAGAACATGTCTTGTCTCATTTTCAAAAATAAGCTGGTCTATTTTATAAAGGCTATGGTAAGTCCACAAATACATCTTTCCAAATGGTTGGTTTTGATTATAAGTATTATCGGTATGACAAGCGATGGGCATGCTCGAGCGAGAATCCTTATATCAAACCAAGTTACAGGTTTCAACAAGCCTAAAGGAACGGTGAAAACCATTGAGGTCATTCCTAAACTCTGCCTATTGCTATTTCAACCTTTTTTTCTCTTTTAAATATGTTCTTTTTGTTAAGATGATGCATGAGAACCTACTGCAGAGTCATGAAACTGGTGAAGTGATCGATTGTGTTGACATCTTCAAGCAACCTGCTTTTGATCATCCACTTCTCAAGAATCATACCATACAGGTTTTTGTCCCTCATTCTTGACCTATAACATAATACCAGTATTCTGTCTTATGCCTCCCATACAAAATTTGCAATTAACAGTAGAAATGAATAAGTGCAATGATGAGGGTATAGGTACCTTAATCATGAGGGCCATCATAGAGCAGTTGTAGGAGAGTCTAAGAAATGAGGGCTATTCTATGTCCAGAGTATTGTTATGCGAACTTAGATATGTTCGTCCACCTTATTTAACAATCACTAAAGCTTGCATGTTTATGAATAGATGAAACCAAACTCAAATCAGAAAGCAAATGGAGAGAAATATGTGGAAGGTGCGTTCCGTCAAGTTTGGTGGAAATATGGTGAATGCCCTGAAGGAACGGTCCCCATCAAAAGACGACAAAATCTTACCAATCATCATGTTAGACCGTTGACTCCACGCCTGCATCAACTCAATTTGAGCAGGAATGACATCAATGGAGTGGGTAAACATGAAGTATGTGCAAATACATCACGATATGACTTACTGTGGCATTGCTTTTGAGTTGCATTTTTGTTTATGCGTTGATCCTTAAGTTTCACTTCCTTATGAGTTTGTTGTATATTGGTTAGTATGCTGCAGTATCTATGAGAGGTGGCAACTACAATGGAGCTTATGCAAAAATTAATGTGTGGAACCCCACAGTAATGGAGAATGAAGGCACTTTCTCTCAAATTTGGGTCGCAGCAGGCCCCGATTGGGATGTGAACACTGTGGAGGCCGGATGGATGGTAAGAACTTAGAATGATCATATCTGAAGATTTTAGCATGATTGACATTCTAATTGTATGTAAATTTGGAAGATAAGTGGTTTGTGTTTTTATTATAGATTAATAGAGAACGGAGCAATACCAATGAGGCACAGATTTTCACATTCTGGACAGTAAGTTCTTAACACTTTTGAGTGCTTACAATTCATTAAATTTTCACAACCATATCAAACGTTGACATGCTTTTCTTGGCTGGAGTTTAGGGTAATGGCTATCGCGGTAGTGGTTGCTACGATGTTGATTGCGAGGGATTTGTACATATAAATCGCCAGTTTGCCTTAGGTGCTGTGATTCGACCAGTCTCTGTCTATGGTGGAGACCAATATGATGTACCTATAAGAATTACGAGGGTAATGGAGCAACATTTTATCTAATTTTACGATGGATATTGTTTTTTTTTTTTTTTGGTAACCCAGGGAACCCCCGCACGGCCGACAGCTGGGAGGTAAACCCTGGGGGCGACACGTGCTAGCCACCACACACATGCACTGGTTAAGTCACCCTGCGGCGCCCGGGATTCGAACACTCAACCTTTTGCGAGAGGAAGAGTGCCCTTTCCAGCAGCGCCACCCAGACGGGTGGTTACGATGGATATTGTTTAGTCTTCTATCTTTTAACAAAAGTATTTCAGGTGCTTGATACTGGATCGTGGTGGCTGCACGTTGCGAACATAGCTGTAGCCTACTGGCCTCCGGAACTCTTCAGTTATCTAAAAGGCCCTGCTACTCGAATCGATTGGGGCGGAGAGATAGTCGACATGCAACAGCGTGGTAGTCATACGTCAACGCAAATGGGGAGTGGCCATTTCCCTTATGAAGGCCTTGGACATGCGTCCTATTTCAGCAATCTAAAATTCATCGACGAAGGATTAATTGAGAGAGACCCGGAGAATCTCCTGAAGATTGTGCACAGATCTGAATGCTATGACTTAATGTTAAACAAATTTGGAGTCGATTTCTATTATGGGGGCCCCGGATTTTCACCGCAGTGTACAAATTTTTGAACATATGATAACATGCTTTCCTTTTTTTACGTACCCTAATAAAAATGGCTCTGTCAAGTGTTTTGCAGTGAGTACATCGGTGCGTTTTTTCGTACCCTAATATCAATGATCTATTACGTTGATCAATCTCATATCACACATCAATTGTCTATTCCATTGATCAACTTATCCTCAAGAATATCGCATAATCCACTTGAAGATTTGTGCAAATCAACCCTTATTTGTTGTATAAAACCATTAAATACTTCTCATATTTTTACTAACACGTCGAGTGAGATTGTTAATCACATTATTTCAAATTTGTTCGTCTAGCATCATGGGACACTTAACTCGTTATACACCCAAGACATGATTCATAACAACATCATATTAAAAAGATTATTGTGTACATACAATCGTAGCACTAAGATAATGATCCACTTCTTTAAATTCCAATCTCATTGTCTCCCAAGGCAATTTCCCATTGTTGCCTCTAGCATCAGGGGTTTCAAAACTAGACCTTATCTTTAAACCAAAAATCTTACTAAAGAATTTATCATTTAAAAGATCATCACTTAATATTGAATGCCTATAACTTCCTAGATAACCGAGATAAGAACTTATCTATTTTCCATTAAATTCAATGAATCTCCAATTCTCAAACATAAAGGCTCATCAATTACCCCTTCTTATATCAATGATTTAAGCACTCGCATTGCATCATAATTTCAAACAATAATACAACTGAAATTGACCATGTATCCTAGTTCGACAAAGCTCTTTAACCTCTTCTTTATTTCAGGTAAATAAATGTTCCAGTTTCGACACATGGACAAGGGCTTTCATATATTGGAGTGTGAGTTCTTTAATAATTTCAAAACTTATAACTTGCAAGATTCTAGACCAAAACTTTATCGCTACCTACCTCTTGAGGGCCGAACTCGATGAAGCGGGTTTAGAGGTAAGGGTTCATGAAACGGTCCAAATGACACATCATAAAAGATGGCTTACCGAAGCATTAATCTTTTAGTCATCCATAAAATCCATTGATCATGAACGTGGATTGTCCCTAAATTTATACCTTGCTTGACAGTGAATTGATTTTATCTTTTTAGCAAATAGGAGTCACCACTAACCTAGGTCGGGGGTTAGCTAGAATACCCAACTGAAACGCAGGATTTTCGTTTCGATTTCTATGAAAATCAGAGATCATGGATTTGGAGACTAGCTTACGTTAATGTTTCCACTAACGCCTTTTGGTAACACTAAACTTAACAGCGTTGTTATCTAAGTTGTCATGCATTTATTTTTTTTGTTTTTTACCATTTTCATGCCAAAGTCTAAGTCCACTAGGTGATCATGCTTTTTATTTTTATGTTTTCCATTTAGGTTCTAAACTAGTTTTGACTTAGTCTAGAAATGTGACATCGAATTTTGACCCATTTTTGGGATTTATAAAATGTGTATTTCATCAAACGCGCTTGTAGTGTAATCTTGCCCGGAACTGATCACTCTCGGGACACTGACCATTTGGAAAAGGCTAACTAGGGAATTAATTTAGCGCGACTAGGGGGACTCGACCGTGGACTGACTTTCGGGCAATCGGAGTCACCATGGCTCGAATGAACCCGAACGTGGTCCGATTTAGTATTGGCCACGAGTCGATCATGCATAATTCCCAATAGCCGCCCGTTAGTTCGAGATTCGCTAAAGTCGCGTTTGATTGAATTTGGCCATTATTTAGAGCCCGAACTTGGGTGTCGAATTTTTCGAAGTTTCGCGACGAAATAAATTGGACGACGTCAAAATAAATGTGGCCAGCCTCGAGATTGCCCAGATTTTGTCGGAAAATGAAATTTGGACCGGGTGCGGACCTAGACCAGTATACCTCCCTCAGTGTTTATTTGAATTAGTGTCTTCTAATCTTTTTCTTTAATTGAAAACTAGGAATTTTCGTGGCCCTTAGATCTTGGCTTGCTCACCAAGATCAATTTTGGACCCTTGGATTGCACTTGAGTGGGTTAACTTGCACACACACACACACACACACACACACACACACTCTCTCTCTCTCTCTCTCTCTTTTCTCTCTCTCCTCCCCTCACCCCCGCGTGCGTTCCCCTCCCTCTTCCTCTTGCAGCCGCGTCTGTCCTTCGCCCCTCACCCTCTCCCGGCCGCGCCACCGCCAGCCACCGCCGCGCGTCCGGCGCGACGCCGCGCGTCCGGCCGCTGACGCCGCGCGTCCGGCCGCGCGCCGCGCGTCCGGCCGCGGACGCCGCGCGCCACTACCCCCCTGGCCGTCCGGCCGCTTGACCAGCCGACGTTGTAGTCGCGAGCCTGCCCCAGCCGAGCCACCAGTCCTCCTCCTTTCGGCCGCGAGCAGCAAATCGGCCGGAGCGCCGATCGCCAGAGCTCGTCGCCGCCCACCGCCATCGTCGCCACCCCCACCGCCACCGACTGTTTCCCTCCGCCGTGAGCCCTTCTCCCCCCTTCTGCTCCAGATCTGGTTTCCCCACCCATTTCTACATGTGTGTCTTCCATCGCGCCGCTGTCTGCCGCCACGTGCCTCACCGCCCGTCCGGCCGGCGTTCCCGCCGACCTGGAGCCGCCGTCCGTGCCGCCGATCGTCCCGAGCCCGACCGTTCCTGTCTCTCCCTTCCCTTCTCTTTTTCCCTTCGGCTCGGGCCAGATTTGGCCGCGCATGCGCTGCTTGTCGCCGCGAGCCGCCCGGCCAGCCGTCGCTACCTCAGCCGCCGACCGCCGCCTGGCCGGCCACCCAGCACCACCCCCTCCCCTATTCCGGCCAACCAAGCGCCTCCCCTCTCCTGTTCGGTCGTCCGGCCCTTTGTCCGCTCGTCGCCGCCGAAGCTGCTGCAGGTCTGGCGAGCCCCCTGCTGCCTCGCCGGACTGCTGCCGCCCTTGGCCGGCCCGCACCAGCCTTAGCCGAGTCCCCTTCGCCGAACTAGCTGCTTCGCCGCGGCTTGCCGCCGTCTCGCCAGCCGCCGCTGTCCGGGACTGTCCCGACCCTACCCCCACCGCCCTAAAGCTTTGTAAGCGACTCCCTAACCCCTACCTAGTATAATGGGTATTATCGGACTTATTTAGGGAGATTTAGGGGTTAATTGTGCGCCGAGTGGAGGGCCGATTAGTGGTTAATCGTGGCTGGTATCGGGGTCAATCCGTAGTGACTTTGTGGCTGGGTAACGGTCGGTGTTGATCTGATTAATGACTGGATTGTTGGGTGGCGTTGGTTATGTTGCGATGTTGAATGTGAGTTAAATGTGGCGATTTAGTGGTTGTGAATATGGCTGGTTCATTGTGGCTTTTGCAAGTGAAATTTGGGGTCGATGGTGATCGGTTAGGGCGCATTTGGTAACGCTTCCGTTTCTCTATTTTTCTGTTCTTCTGTTCTCTGGAACAAAAAAAGAACAGAAATCCGTTTGGTAACGTATTTTATTTTTCTATTTCCTGAAATAGAAAAGTGGCCAAGAAATAGATTGGAGCAGAAATAAGAAGTAGAAAAAATCTACTTCTTTATTCCTAGAAATAGAAAGGTCTGGTCCTCAAGCCGCGACCTCAGCTCCTCCTCCATCCTCCATCGTCTGCAAACCGTCTCAAAGCACCGGTCTGGTCCATTCTCGGCGGAAATAATAAAAAAATTAATTAAATTATAAAAAATTCCAAAAATTCCAAAAAATCATAAAAATCAGAAAAATTCTCAGAAAATCCATAAAAATCAGAAAAACTCAGAAAATCCATAAAAATTTGCAAAATTCTGAAATTGAAAAAATTTAAAAAAAATTCATAAAAAGCTTTTTGGAAAATAAAAAGAGACAAATTTCGAGAAAGTAAAAAGTTTTAATAAACTTTTCCCCAAAAAAAAATAATAAAAAATTCACATAATGGCTTAGAATAAATTAAAAAATCCCGAAAATTCATATAAATCAGAAAAATTCTCAGAAAATCCATAAAAATCGGAAAAACTCAGAAAACCCTTAAATATTTGCAAAATTCCGAAATTGAAAAAATTAAAAAAAATTCATAAAAAATTTTCGGAAAAATAAAAATAAACAGATTTAGGGAAAGTAAAAACTTTTAATAAATTTTACCCCAAAAAAATATAAAAAAATTCACATAATGGCTTAGAATACCTGTGGTCACCCACTTTGAGTGAAATTTAAATTTTTGATGTGCTCAAGTGGTATTTTTGAAGATTCCTTAGTTTAGGGATTAAAAGGGGTTTTAAACCCCTAAAAAGGATTAGACAAACCAATAAATCATGCTTATTGATTTTTTTCACTTATAACTTGTACTTATAGTTAAATAAAAGATATAGATTTGAATGTAAAAAATTGGAAATAGAAATTTTGTGCAGTTATTAAACGCATTTATGTTCTTTTTCTATTCCAAGAATAGAAATTTTGTGCAGTTACCAAACACATTTCCGTTCTAGAAATAGAAATTTTGTGCAGTTACCAAACGCATTATTTTGCTCAGAAACTCTTCCAGGAAATAGAAATAGAAAAAAACTATTTCTTAAAAGAAATTGTTCCCAGAAATAGAAACATTACCATACGCACCCTTAGTGTCGATATGTGGGTTGATTATGGCCGGTTTGAGGGCCGAGGTTGGGGGTCAATTTGTGATGTTTTGGAGGTTGAAATTGATGCTGGAAATATGAGTAGGATGTGCAAGGTTAGGCGGCTGAGCTTGATGGCCTATTGGAATTTTCGTGTGCTTGATTTATTGTGAGTAATTTTGTGGGAATTATAGTGAATTTATGATTACTCGGTTTGATTAGAATTGCTGGCGAGTGAGTATATTATTGTTTGGTTTGATTACGTGAATGATGTGGAAATTGATTGAACTGTGTGGCGAGTGTGGTTTGAGATACCCTCAGGCGTGTTGACGCAGGGTTTAGAATGTCCTGAGGCGTGTTACGCGGGACAAGCCCAGATCGATAGGAGGGCTACCAACCTGAGGCGTGTTTACGCGGGTTGTGAGAAAAGACCTGAGGCGTGTTCACGCGGGTCGCAGTTGGATGGCATGAAAATGTAAGTATACCCTGAGGCGTGTTTACGCGTGGTTGGAAAAT